AGGTACGTTGGTACACAAGCCGAGATGAAGCTCCCGGACAGTCCACTACCGAAACTAGTCGAATAGCTCTTTTTCTTCACTGCTCGAATGTTCGTTTGCTGCACAAACTCTGAAAATATCTTTACCTGTTGCGATTCTTATTGGTTCTCAATTAACTTGATCCTTGATTAACACTTGGGTGCATCATTTGGTGGCTTGGCTAATCATTATTTTATCTGAATCCCAAGTTCTTACTCCTTTGTGATGGGAAGGTGTCTTTGTAAGAATGCTGCATTTGAATTTGGGTGCCGACATTTGGTCTATCCCACATAAATGTGATGGAAATTCGTGTTTGTTAATGTCGGCGTCAATTCAGTGTAGTATGTGTGGAATCGCTTAATGCAGTCCTCGTTCTCTAAATGTTTTAGCACGTGTACAAAGTTCTCGAAAATGAACTCTCCGATTGCGAATCGATTGATATGGGTGGCCATAGCTTGGTGAGTTTAGTTGCTTATGCATGCTTAAGGCAGCGTTCAGGCTTCGCGACGGCAGCGCTTCGGTCGCGCGTTCGACGCGATCGATGCGCATGCTTTCGACTGCATCGATCGCGTCAAACGCGACACTGAAGCGCTGCATGGCGAAGTCTAAACGCTGATTAAACCTTTAATTCTGTTGTCGTTTCTCTCATCCACATAATCCCTTTCACCTGTTTTCGTTGTATTGCACCAATTTAGGCTGGGCGCGTCTGACTGCGACGTGCTGCGCCTCTCTATGTAATAAAGCAAAAGCGGACAGCGATTTCACTCAAGTGAATCACAATTGAATGCCAATGCGCTTATCGCTACTCTATATATACACTAGGTGCTGTGTATGCTAGTGTGCGTGTGTGGTGTGTGTGTGTGCGCCTCTGCGTCTGTCATGTGTGTCACGCAATTCATAGCGCCAGGTCCCACGGTGGCTTAGTGAGACATGGTTTTTCAAGAAGTGATGTAGGCGGTGTGACGGGAACACAATTGGTGGGTGACAGGAAGTGATATCAGCTGATAAGATACGATAAGAGGCGTTAGAAGGGGAGGTCACCATATTCATAACGCGGGTGACAGCAGCAGTGGGACGTTGGTTCCGAGCAGTGAAATAGGGGTGGGACGAAAACATTATTGGTAGGTGACAGGATGTGATATCAGCTGATAAGATCTGATAATGGGCATTAGAAGGGAAGGACTACCAAATTCACAGTGCGGCTCACAGGTAGCGAGATGGGTCCTTGGATGCGCGAGAGGTGATAATAGGTGTGAGACGGGGCAACATAACCTGGCGGGTGACAGAAAGTGATAACAGTTGATAAGATACGATAAGCGGCTTCGGAAGGGAAGGGTCATCAAATTCGTAACGCAGGTTACAGCAACAGTGGGACCGTCGATCCAGAGGCAGATTACAGCGGGTGGGATATGAATAGTGATCCGGGACGGAGTGCTTATTGGTGGGATACGGAAGTGATAGGAGCTAAAAGTTGACAAGGTAACATGGGAAAATCCGCTTCACCGCTCACAACAACAATGCGATCGATATGACTCAAGTATAACGATCTCAATGATTCCAACAGAACTCATTCCTCACTGCTTATTAGTAACGACATCATGTACGACCGCTAAGCTAGCTCTATTCCAAATGCATGGGGTTTGTTTACAGAGATGTTTACCACAATTATCTTCCATCAACAACTTAGTGAGGGCCATTTAACGCGTTCCACTGCTGAATGCGGGAGTGCATTCCAAAGCAAGACGCTTTAAGGCGACAGAATGCATGAATCATAGGCTGCTTCAGCAGCTAACCTAACAGGCTCCATTATTCCCGTGTAGGTTATGAACGTACCAGTCGGATCGCTGGCTAAGGCTGGCTCCCCTCCTTCTGTGATGCGGGGGGGGGCGCTGCTGCTGCTTCTGCGCCTTGCCTTTCCATGTTGTTGGCTCGATGCAGTGAGAATTCCTTTGAACAGTGTGGTGGGTCAACGATCCGTAACTTAGCACGTGGCAAATCCGCATGGCCGGCGCGAAGCTGGGCCATGTCACAGAAGGAGGAGCGCGGCCTTTCGGCGACAGCCTGGGAGATTCGACTGGTTTATTGATATCGCGTGAAAGAATATCAATAGTGAAGAATAAGAGGCGAGAATTGGAGCAGAGTGGGAGCTATCCCAAAAAACGGCAACATAAATTTGTCGGGCGGCTGGCTCCACTAGGGCTAACATGAAGGCGGGGGGGGCGGCTACAAGAGGCTTACTCGCGGACAGGGTTATCCGTCCACATTGTACCGCTGGGGACCTTGATGACTGTCGTTATACAGTCCTACAAATTCAAGAAGCAGTATGGCCTGCTCCTAAAACATCATTTTGTCGGACACACACGGGAGCGTAACCGCTGCATTTTTAATGGGCAAATATTTCTGCACCCGTTTTCACGGAGGGGAAACCACAATTTACATGCTCCCCCCCCCCTTTTTTTTAAGCCTCCAATACACAAAACTTTAATACTTAGGAGTACAATGGTATAGTGGTAGGAATGAAATGATGAAGTGAAGGTAACCTCTTATCTCTTATCAGCTGATATAATCGCCTGTCACCTGTCACAAACGTTCCAATCTCCATATCACTTACCCTTTGGTGTGGTCCACATACAACCTTGGAGGATTTTAAAATGCCGGCAATCGCCTTTTTATCAGCGCTGGCGTCAGCGTGCTATCCTCTGCTGTCTTCCGTCGTACTATCCCCGTCACATGTACCTATATGCACCATGTTGGAAGCCAACTTCCCAGTCAGGTATTGTGACGGGCGCCATGAAATGGGCCGAGCGGACGTTTGATGTATCGACACTTCAACACTTATCTGACTAATATCTATATCCTGGAATCAAGCGTTGCAACCGTTGCCTGGCGACGGCGTTATAATTTCGTGGATCCCACACAGTGCCCCTTGTCAGTTTCATATCATTTTTTATTTTTCGTTATCTTCACCCCCAACAAGTTAAATGTTGCTCGGCGCGGCACCCAACTACCCCTCACGTTATTTATCTTATAACTTTATTTGCTCTAAATCAATGAAAGTTGCGATTAGTATTTGCGGTCAGACCACACAGTCACAAAACAGACTCTAGCGGATTTTTTATTTTGTAGCAAGGAAATGGGGCACCCGGTAGAAAGAGTGCGTTTACTACTTCATGTAGTCGAGCAGTTCACCGCAGCATTGATCCTGTGACTGGGTTGTTTCACGGCGCTGTGAGGTTGGTCCGCTTGCATGAGCGAAAAGAATTTCTACACTGTGATTGTAACTAGTAGTTGAAACCGGTGTCGAGAACAGCTTCGGATCGCAGTAGCGCTAATCTGAAATCGTACCGACTGAAACTGAATCGCCATAGATTACACGCTGTTTGGAGGAATCGGCTCTCGCAGAAAACATCCCATAATAACGCGGTTTGGAAGGATTCCCTTTTTTTGCAGTTCGGCCTGTGAAGTTCAGTTCCGTGGTTGTCAAGTTTAGATTGAGTGGTAGTCCAGTATAGCGCCGCAATCTAAGTACAGTGACGGCTAAGACCATGTCAAGATGTCGTGACAGTCACATGAAGTGGGGGGGGGGGTGAGAGGGAGAAGTGAGAAGTTTCAGGGGGATGAACCCAGTTGTCAAGAAAGTGTGGAAAACCTTATTTATAGCGCTAACGAATTGGTTCGACCTACACCGGACTACTCAGTCTAAGTCCGGGCTTGATGGCTGAAAATTATTATACTGTGAGCGTTAATTGTTGTCCTAACGTAAGCATCCTGTTCATGACTTCGGTCGATTTGAACGGAAATTGGCAGTCGGCACGATGCTGGACTCCTGGTTACCGGCAGTCGGATATTTTCTTGCTGCGAGGGTCCAGAGGTGTCGTCGCATGTTCTGACTGAGCTTTGAAAGCAGAAAAATAAGGAAGTGGGAGAGAAAGGGAAGGAAGAAAAAAGGGAGGAGGAGGGTGATTCTACGGTTGGCAGATATTTTGAGGTTGATGCACAATCGCGGCCGACTGTGCTCCAACGATAATAGTTGGACCGCTGCTACTGATACTCAGTCGCATTCAGAAAACCCTATTCTCTGGTTGTAATGTATTCTGCCAAAGAGGTTGGTAGGTGGAAGACTTTATTGAACTTGGCCTGACGTTTCGACGGGATCGTCGTCCTCAGAGGCCTAAACATAGCTCAAGGTTTAGATGTTGCACCCTCTACACCGCCAAACGCCTCGACACCCTAGCGTTTTTGGCGGAATCCTAGGAGAACTGCCGAAAAAAAACTCGAATGTGAGAAACGAACTTACCTTTGCAACATCAAAACGTTGAGCTATGTTTGGTCTCTGAGGACGACGATCCCGTCGAAACGTCAGGCCAAGTTCAATAAAGTCTTCCACCTACCAACCTCTTTGGCAGAATACATTACAACTTGAAAGTTCACAATAATGCCGAGGTTTTATGAAGAGAGAAGTCGGACACCTCTTCTCTGGATTGCAGCGGTCCAGCGTCATCCTTTCTGGTTCGCGCGAATGAGCGCGAACCAGGGAGTATGAAGGCCACATGAAAAATGACAGTGTCTTGGACAGGGTGCGCGTCATAACACGCGATTTTCTCATAATTTACATCTGGAGAGGCATGCCGCGTTGTATCCTGTCCTGTCCTATCTCTCAAAGTATGAAATGCGAACTTATATAGGACTAGTGCCTCAGTTTGGAATATTTCGTGGTTGAGTTTGTTAGCACATTTTTTTGAATTCCCGTTGTAACCGAAGTGGTGAAAATAGAAGAACATGCGAAGATTGCGTGATTGTGTAACTACATTCCATCAGTTCATATTCATTAGTTTCACAGAAGGTGATTTACTGGCATGAACCTTCTTCTTTTAAAGGTCTCCGAGAAGTATGCATGTCTAGAAACCAAAAAAAATGCTGCAAAATCCAGATATGCAGGTAAATTTACATAGATATAGTAGGAATATCCCTTTTTTCAGACTATGGAAGGTTTCGAGACGATGACGTCAGATTCGGAAGTAGAAGTTGACCGGACAGAAAACGTTTCACGAAGCGTTCGTTTTGCCGAGCATCGAGAGGTTTGACATGCTGTTTGCCTCACTTGTTGGCATTTTATTTGCTTTGAAATTATTTTATTTGACGCGGTTATAACGCAGGTCTGCTACCTATTAAGAATTGGGAGATCATTTGTTACCTAAAACGTCGAGAAGAAACCAGTATGCGTCTTTATCAGTGCATTTTGTACGCTTGGGATACAGACTTGCCCTAATCCTTGCTGTTGACGTCTCCGAACCCGTCACCAATGTGTTATGTGACGTCAGTGACACGTCATCTGTCTCTTAACAGGGAGCATACTGGACTTCCGTACATATCAGAACCCATTCCTATTCTAATATTCATTCTTATATCAACAATTGAAACCTTGGAGCTTACCGTAAATCGAAAAAAATATTATTTGCAGGTGAGGCGTATGCCAGCGGTTGAGGCAGATGAGGCTCGCCTGGCACGGCAACCGTATTCTCCTCCAATTTTTGACTGTAATTTCTCCTTAAATCTACCACATAATGTCAAATACACAATATTTTTCTTTGCTCCCATGGTGAGTTTCTCTTGGGGTTTAGTCGTGACTATTGGTTTTTTTTTCGTATTTTCTCAAGTTGGAATTTATTCGTTTCGAATTTTTTTCTGTCCCAGAATCTCATAGTGGCTGACAAAAATGGACGCAGTTTGGGTGGGAGGGGTATTCTGCTGATTCCCATTGATCGTTGACGATGCCTGTTGTGGAGGCCTGTAAACTCTTGTAAAGCCGGTAATAGCACGAGCCTCGTTTACAAGTGATAAGAGTCTGCAGGTCAACAAGGTGGGACGTGTAAGTCAGCAGGAAGTAGCAAAAGAAACTAAGGAATCGGAAAGTTGCCCACAGGATACAGCATCGTTGTGTGAAACAATGGGGAAGGGTCGCTCACGCCGGCGCACGGGAGGGGTAGGGGTCGTAGTGCTATTCGAGAAAAATTTACGGCGTTGGGCAAGAATTTTTTTTCCCGGTTGCATGGACTTCACGGTGTCTCTCCGCTTCCAACATTTGCAGTTGCCTCCCCCTCCCCTCGACGGAAAATTCTTCGGGAAAAGAGCAATTTCGGGAAATTTCGGAGAAAACTGGTAGGAAATGGAACATGTAGGAAAGTGGTAGGGTGTTAGGGAAGCGGGGGGGGGGGGGCTCGCACGGGAGAACTCTGTTTTTACGGAGAGTCGGACTGAGACCAGTCGCCACTTCACACATCCATATCCTGTGCCCTGGTTGCCCAGCTTCCCCCTTCCCCCCTTCCCTTTTAGTGCAACACATTAGTTTTGGTAATTGATATACTTGGTGGTATTAAAAAGCATACTTCTCTAAGGAAACACTCTGAAAAACATGTATACTTGGTGGTATTAAAAAGCATACTTCTCTAAGGAAACACTCTGAAAAACATGAAAACATGAACATCCCTTGGGCAAACTCTTTTTAATTCGTCAAATAAGAGCTCCCGGAATCCTTCCTGTTACTCTCTTCTGCCCACAATGTTGTGCATCACATATTCTTTAGATTCAAAAAATCGACAATTTCAATAGATATCAGTCACTAATGTAAAACTACGTTTTAGTGGCTCATCTGTACTTTCACATATCAAACTGCTTTGGTATTCACATCGGTATCCGCATTGAACTTGATCTCGTCATCGTCGTCCCTATTCGTTCTAGTCTTCTCGATTTGTTTCCCTTCGAATGGCTCCAGCTTTACGCTCTTGAAGGTAAGGTGTTAAATTCATGTGCACTGTTTACTCTTTACCTTCCCGTTATTCATAAATCGAAAATTTTGAAGTCAGGTAGACATTCGTCTATGAAGTGGTTTTTAGTTAGTTTTTTTTATCCATTCGCCTTGAAATCTGGCGCTCGCTCCACATGCGCTAAACCCGGCTAGAAAACACAAATGTGGCTTAAAGCTTGTCCATAGGCTCCGGTTTGAGTTCGCGAAGTTTTGGGCCAAATGTCTTGTTAGGGTGGATTTTCGATGCAAAATTTGGCCTGCTTTCGAGGAGCGAGGGCGTAGAAGGCGTATTAGTGGTTTTTGATCTTTTGTTTTTGTCACAATTGATTTTTTCTATCGTGATAGGGCGATTTGTGCTTGACCCAAATATTTTTGATAGCTTTAGGCTTTTCTCGTTGCCTTAAATTTGGGAGGCGTTTTTCTAGTGTCGCAATTTTCTTCATCACTCCGTGGAACCTTATTTGCTCAGGTAATCTTTCATAAATGTTATATTTTATCGCTTTTTCTACATTTTCTACTCATTAAGGTTTCGGCTGTATCATACGCCTTGTATATAACCCTGTATACTCGATATCAAGAGAAGAATGGAGAAATCAGCATTAATCTCATGTTCGGTGAGTAATGGTGTAATAATCGGCGACCGCACTCGTTTTGCCTGCCGTGAACACTTGAAGGCTCAGGCGGCAGGGTCGAGTGTGTCCGTTGTGGTCTAGTGGTTAGGATTTACGGCTCTCACCCGTAAGGCCCGGGTTCGATTCCCGGCAACGGAAAAAGTTTTTGCCTTTGTGCTACATGCTTGATTTAGCATAAAATATTCACGCACTGCTCTTTCTCGACTATATTTTTTTAATTCAAGAAATACTCATCGCAAGGGAATTTCTAATCAGAAAACTCATTTTTATACTATTTATTTATATGCTATGCATTTATTTATTGATATGCGATACACTAATATATACTACTTGAAGTTTAATTTTTTTTACTTTTACTTATCCTTTATACTATTTTTATATTTTGTCGTTGCAAAAAGAGTCAGAGGAGCATGAACCATGCTGTTGAATTGGCAAGAATGCGGATTAGTTCAGCCAAAGAGCTTCGCGCCTTTATTTTGATGTAAAATAGCGAAAAAGAGTGAATAAAATGGAGAATTATACATGAAATAAAAAGGGCCTAATCAAGATTTTAAGTAAAAATACAGGTTATATTTCATTCCCATTTTTTATTGTGCTTGTTTTTTATCAGAAGTTGATGTGCGCAACAGTTTCTACATAGAATTATCGTCATTTTATAAAGTGGAACCCTTTCACTTTTGTTAGGAGAGAAAATAATTTTGCTATATTTATATTTCTTCGGCTTACGCCTTTGTCTTAGCCTGTATATTTTCAGCGTAGGTAAATAAACTTTGGGCAGGCGTACCTTAAAGCCCTCCGAGATTCTGCCTTGTTCCGAAGGCGCTGCCAAGGACACAGGATAAAGAATCGAACCGTTGAGATTTCAAATAGCAGTGTATTGTGATTTAGAAGCAGTTGCTGGGTTAACTGGAAGTAACTCAATTAAAGAAGAAAAGGTAATTGAAAGCAAGGGACTACGAGGAACTCTCAAAGTACAGAGGATTGGAGGGGAGCGTATTTTCGAAAGTATTCCCCCTGGAATCAGGTAGGCCAGCAGGCCCCTGAGCCAATGAAAAGTCGACAAGTCTTGACAAAACAACGTACTTTAAAACAACGCTAAGCTTTTTTGCTCTGGGTACGACATCTCTTTCACGAACGATCAACTTTACCAGGAAGCAAGAAGAACATTCTCCCAGACCAGCATACACCCTCTTTATTAGTGATCGCTGGCTGGCTCATATCGAAAGGCAAGATAAAATGTAAAGATTCATTGCGTACGTATGATTTAATGCGAATGCGACGATTCAGAAAAATTCGGCCTTGTAAATGATAAACACGCAAAATTCTTTAGATTTCACGATTTTTCGCCCTAATTTGATTTTGTCACTTGTCATTCGATTGCAGGATTTGTGGAACAAAACTAGATCGCTTTTGTTGTCATCGAAAGTTCAAAAATGATTTGTGGAAGTGGTGTTGGGTCATGATAACATCGCGGGTAAATGTGAAGCTGTCCGTTGTGAGGCAGTATAGCAATAGTGGTATTGTACTAAACTAGGCGTCTTGCTTTTTTGGTTAGTTGGCACGATAATTTGGTACTCTGTCTCATTTGTAACATGCGTGGTACATAGTGAGAAAATGGCGAAAAAGCGAAGTGAAACGAGTCAAAAAACCTGATCGTCCAATAACCCGCTAACGAATAACCGACAAGAGACGGGTGCATTGTAGATCATGCAGCAACCGCAGAAGTTCGTACGAATCCCTTCGCTTCACATTTATTTCGCAAATGAAGAGATACGAGGAACAAGAATACGAGGAACGAGAATACGAGGTCGGACATTTACGGGCAGCGATCGCGGTGGGCGTCCGGTCGCTATGTTGCAGCTTGGTAGGACGCTATAGATGTACCTTCCTTGGAAAAAGCGCACATAGCGTCTGCTTAGGGGCGTTAAATTCTGTCCCCCTAGGCGTATTAGTCCTACAGGCCTTGGGGATTTATCGTGCCAACTGCCAATTTTCGGGTGTGCTAAAATTATATTGCGGGGAGAATTGATAGGCTCACAAAAGCTAGTGGCCACTATTGCTCTTAGCGACCGTAGTAAGAATTCCTCCTTGAGCGATTGAGGCATCTTCTGGCGGGAAGAGTGGCGGCCAGTGGGCGATCCACCTCTGAAGGGGTTTGTAATCGACCCTCCCCCTGCTTATTTTAGATTGAAGAGCGGTTGAGTACGGCTGCGTGGCATATTGTGACATAAGGGCGCTACATGACCCACTTTATTTCCAATGAGCTTCTTCCATTCTTAAAGAGCCTAGCTTCATCCCCCACGACCTTTCGCAAAGCGATAGGCGAGATTCCTGATGCTTGGCAGGACATGAATAATAGCATAGCTTTCACGGCGGCACCGGCGTAAATCGGCAAAGAATATTTTGCGAGTATTCAACCTTTCGCTGAGCAGCTCCGCTCAGACATAAAAAAGAGAAAGGTCTACATGAACCAGAAGACTTTCTCTTTCCAAGAAGCACAGCAATTTCCTCTTGGTCTACTATGAAAATCGGCTCGTCACTGTTTTTGGCACAAAATTGTACATCGGCTGGCCGCACGTCTGGTCATGAGCCTGGTCGCAAACGAGATGTCCCTACGATTCAAAGCCGATGCAGAATGCGTGGCGCATCCCAGAAAATGGGCTGAGCGACGTTGTAAACGTCATATTTTCTTACACCTTTGTACGGTGTAAGTTTTGATTTTATACAAGAGAGAGAGAGCCGAACAAGCTCAACCCGCGCAACATTTGGGAAACCTCCGAAGTTCAGGAGCTCTTCGATAGCCTTTTTTGTCTCGCGTAACCTGTGTGTGCTTTCGTTCGAAATAAGGACCGTACAGGTTCCTCTCCTATTATCCCCCTACTGAGGCGGAGGTGGTTTAGTGACAAGTGGCGCGTTTATCACCAGCGCGGTCCTCTCGATCAAATCCCGGGTCGGCTCCCGCTCAGGCCAATGCTTCTACCCTTCAGGAACGGCAATTTGGTACCAGATTCGTCTGGGAAAATAAGAACACTACATCGGCTGGCCCCCGCAAGTCATTGTATAGGCCACATCGCATTCAATAAGCCACTACGATTCTGAATGGAAGTAGAATGCGTGCCGCATCCCACAAAGGGATTGATCAACGGCGAAGACTTTATCCTTTATCCTTTTTCATCTCCTTGTTGTCTTTACCCACAGCAAAGACGGTTGTTCCCGTACGTTCACTGTTTATCGTTGATGGGTCCCGATTGTACTAGACAGTTTCTGCAGACGATTGTTTTGCAAACTGGGACATTCATTTAGCGAATATCAGGTAAAAAGTACTGAATCACAATCCAAGAAGTCAAGACGCAGTTTAATGAACTCTATTTAATTTTATTTCTGGTGAATAATTCCTTCGGCGAGTTTGGTCTAAATCTGTTTCGTGAAATGTACTCCGGCGAGTTTGGTCTAAATCTGTTTCGTGAAATGTACTCCGGAAAAGCAACAGAAAACTTTCGGAGTTGAGAAAACCTTTTTGGGATGCGCCATGCTTGATCGTTTGAGCGCAATTTGGCTTACATAATGGATTTCGGGGAGTGCTGATGTACAGTCTTGTGCGCTGAGAATGCTGGAGGGTGTCGGGGCAGTTCGGTTGAGTGCGGCGCTAGTCCGTTTTCCACAGTTGTTGAAGCGGCTAAGCGACAACAACTGGTGAAAAATGGGCTGGGCCGCGAGAAACCAAGCTCCTTGACACGCCCCAGTATAAGCAGCGAACGACAAGTCAGTGCCCTTATTCTCACACGCACGTCTGGACGGTATCCTGGCAAATCTGTGGGCTAACCTTTGACTAAGTTCGTGGTAAGCAACGCCACTAGCCCCTTCTTCCCCTTCCTAGGAAGCGTCCGAGGTTGTAAAATGTGTTATGATACTTCCCCTTCTACAGAACTTGGAAGCTTAAAAAAGCTCCCAAGTTTCCCAGCTCAAGAAATCGGCGCAGTTGATTGTCATAATGGTGATGATAAGAGGAAACCCATCCCGGTAGCCTTGATTTGATTACCGTTCGTAGATTTCCTGGGACGCTCTGGGATATTATAGTAGCTCTCAGGTGTTCGCTGAATTTTTTGCGCGAAGGTTCGGTTGAAAATTGTGTTTGGAAGTTTCTTGTGGAATTGCCGTGGATTTTTTTTGCACATGTAATTTCTTTTTTTTGCAGGGGATCAAAGCGCAGTTCGGCTTGATGGGGGGGGGGCATTGAACGCTACTCAGCGAAGCCTGCACATACCATCTTGTGAAGGCTTGTAAATTTCTGCAACCTAAGTGGCTCACGTGTACCATTTTGCGGCTTCCTAAGAGTTTAAAATTTTTTTTGTTTCTCTTGCTAGTACATGTTACCTAACATGTACTAGCAAGAGAAACAAAAAAAGTGCAATATGCCCCATCCACAGACACAGTGAACCGAACCGCGCCTGAAATCGAAGTAGGTGAAGCTAATGAACACTTTGTGGATGCGCCACGCACTCGACCTATCCAGAACCATAGGAGTGTTTGATGCTTGACTGAATATTACGGTGCCCTTGAAGGGAGTACACTGCCGCCAACGGGATTATTCATCTGAAATGCAATGAACGACGTTCACTGAATTCTAATTGAACTTCGCTAAATGATGTCCCAATTTTCTTAATTAGCAGTTGGTTCAGATCGCCGTGGCACTTCCAACTTCACAGGTACTGCCTCCCCTTCCGTCATTGGAAGAGGAAGGGAAATCTGGTCCTTACTCATAAGGTGAAAATGGAGTGATAGCTCGTATTTGAATCTATTCCAAATTACCAAAGTGACCTAATATACCGCTGATTTTTAGAGCCATTTCTAGGCGTTTTCGTCCTCCGCAGTGACTTGTCAAGGACATTAGCCTATTGCAAGAAACAATAAGTGTGGTCAGCTCAGGGGGTATCTTATTTAGGCACCTTGAAAGTTGCCCTGGGAGAGAGACTTTCCAGAAGCATTTTTCTCTCTTTCCAAGAACTCGACTTCCACGATAGTCCGAAGAGCTCGGGGGGTTTTCAAAAACTAACCCAGCAGTTTTTGGAAGATGTAGATGGTATTATCATCCTGCAGCGCAGTGTTTATCAGCGTACGTGGATAAGAAAAAGATTAGGAGAAACTGATGGCTAGCAAAACTACGGAACCAATCGGTATTACTGTGTCAGTTTATTGTGATGGAAGGTTAGTGATACCCTATTCTCACTCCTACTAAGATATGGTACGCTCACTGCAGCTTATCTGGAAGTGCAAAGGTGTAGACTAAAATAATAGTAGTAATGATAATAATAGAATAAATATGTAGAAATACAGTGCGTAACAAAAGTATGTGGACACCTCAAATTTTTGTCCTGCAAAATTGCCTTTGAATTTTGCGATATGAGACCTTTATTGTTGAATTCCTCATAAGCGAAAACATAGGAATACACTACTTCTGAGCACTTTGTGAACTACTGTACAATTATTTATTGTTTTGAAAAAGTTTCTTAATAACAAAAGTATGTGGACACTTAACAAAAAACAAATGTATCGTGGAAAATAGAAGTTGGTTCTTTCTCCAGTGTTCACTTCACTTACTTCGAACATTCTATCTGGCATGCTGTGGGCAAGATTTGTCATGGTGTCTTCGTCGAGTTCCTCCCCACGCAGCAACTACCGCCTCCTTCAAGTCCAGTCGCACGCTGTTGTACTGGCGACTGTTCATGTAGATTCGTCGAACATGATCCCCCACAGGATTTCGGTTGGGTTGCAGTCAGGAGAACACGCCGGCCAATCAATCACTTTGATACCATTGCGTTGGAGCCATTTTCTAGTAGAATTTGAAACATGCACGGCGGCGTTGTCCTGCTGCAGCACATGTGTCCTGCGTCGTGGCCCCTCAGCAGAATAAGGCCAAGAGGTTTAGACTCATAGCGACTCCCTTTGCCGTATCTCCTGTCTGTTCCTACGGCACAGGTGGGCGAGCGCAAGCTCCAACTTTCCTATTGGCTTTTCCAAAAAATCCAACCCCATACCATCAAAGAGGCGCCTCCCAAAGTTCGTCTCGAAAACACCAACGGATCGCTTCAAAAGTCTTTCCAGTAGTGGCTGATGTCCATCTGGACCGTTTAGATTGACTCTTTCTCATCAGGGAAGATATCTAAGAAAGGAAATGCGCATAAGATGTTGCCTTTCTGATTTTACAAATATCTCAAGAAACTGCACCTTGTCCCACGACGTCGCCATGTTTGCACGCGCAAAGTTCAGTCTTGCCAGCTGCTGCTTGGCAGTCAGGGAGCTTTCTTCATGGCCTGTCCGACCGTGACGTCGTGCCTCAATTGAACTCGCGAATAGAGCGCCATATTGTCATTTTTGAGACCGGTAGATTCATCGCGGCATGGATCTGTGCCATAGAAAGCGGGGAGTTTGAGGCCATTCTTCTGATGTCTTTTGCGGACAAAGATCGTGGATGCCTCGAAACTGGCTGCGTAGCCATTCAGGATTCTGGAGGTATATACCAACGCACGTCGCCGAAAGTCCAAGCTATCTTGCAATTTCTCTATTCGAGTGTCCTGCAGCACTGAAAGCTCGAATCCGAGCTTGTTCGTCTTCGTAGAGAGGACTACCACGACGAGGCATGAGTACGAATGGTTTAATGGGGGGACACTAAGACCATAAAAATGGGATTGCAGTTCTGGAGCCAAACTTTGGACCCTCAGGTGTGCCACATACTTTTGTTATTAAGAAACTTTTTCAAAACAAATAATTGTACAGTAGTTCACAAAGTGCTCAGAAGTAGTGTATTCCTATGTTTTCGCCTATGAGGAATTCAACAATAAAGGTCTCATATCGCAAAATTCAAAGGCAATTTTGCAGGACAAAAATTTGAGGTGTCCACATACTTTTGTTACGCACTGTAGAAGACGGCTGCCGCCGCCTAATCAAAACGGTTTCTAAATGAGCGCTCGAGAATTGAATGGCATGAAAGCAGCATTGCCTTGCGCAGTTCTCTCGTGTGAGCCCAGCCGATGCATCCAGGCAAGATACACAACGTGGCAATTAGGCTGCGTTTATACTTTGCGGCAGCGTAGCGTAGCGCTTCCAGCGTACGCCAGCGGCAGTGCCGAAGAGAGGATGCATATCGATCTAGCTTCACCAGCGTCACCAGCGGCACGCTGGCGTACGCTAGCGGCACGCTAGCGTACGCCAGCGTTTCTCCAGCGTTTCACCAGCGTTTTGCTAGCGTTTGCAGCGGCAGGGGAGTAGAGACTATGGGAGAGCTGGAGGGTACAAAACACATCGATTCGCGTCTCTCACTCGCCCTTAGTCTCTACAATGCACATCGCTTCTGCGTCTCCGACGGCCACATAGTCTCTACAATGCACATCGCTTCTGCGTCTCCGACGGCCACATAGTCTCTACAATACACATCGATTCCGCGTCTCTGACGGCCACATAGTCTCTACAATACACGTCGATTCCGCGTCTCTCACGGCCACATAGTCTCTACTCCCTGCCGCTGCAAGCGCTAGCAAAACGCTGGTGCCGCTGGAGAAACGCTCGAGAAACGCTGGTGAAGCTAGATCGATAGCTATGCTTCCCGTGCCCTCGCTACGCCAGCGTGCGCTAGCGTGCCGCTGGTGACGCTGGTGAAGCTAGATCGATATGCATCCTCTCTTCGGCACTGCCGCTTGGCGTACGCTGGAAAGCGCTACGCTACGCTGCCAAAGTATAAACGCAGTCCCTTAAAGGAGGGGCTTTTTAGCGCCGCATGGACTGGGCAAAAATGAGCTACGCGGACGGATTTTCAACAGATAAAGTACGACCCTTACCCTTCCTCACATCCAGAGTACATCTTTCTCTCCCGGTGAGGAATCTTCAGCGTATCAACGTACTGCATGCTCTGAGTGGAGAAATGAGTGCTGTTATTGTACTATTGCTATTTGTGGCCTAGATCTCACTGAATACAGTAATTATGCTCCCATTCAGCCGGAAAAGCCCTAGTACGATCTTCTGTGGTTTCTTCACTATTCGCTTCCAGCTACAAATACTGCTCCGTGACTAGCTGCTGTCATATTTTCCATCTTTCCCCTTTTAAGGTCTTCTCTGAGGTGGAGGTGGCGTAGTCAAGGTACGTCCTACTCTTGGGGAAAAACTGCAAAATTCGGCGGCCGCGTCAAAATTTCCCTTGCCCCTCTTCCTTTCTGAGCCCCACATTACTTACCATTTTCCTTTAATTCTCCCAACCACTTTTCTTGAGAAATTCGTCAGTTTCTAAGAAAAGCCATCGTGGAGCGGGAGATATTGCGGACATGAAATGGGTAAAACCGAGAAAACTCACCAACCAAGGACATTCTTGCGAAGGCAAGTGTTACCTCGCTCCCTTCAGCGACCGGAATACGACCCTCGCTAGCGATCCCCAACAGGCGACATGCCTACAGTGACAAGCGGTCCGCTTACCACGCCCGCGTTCCGGGAGTTAAATCGGCTGTTAACCAGGCCAAAGAAGTCTTTTATCCCTAGAGACAGAAGTGGTAACAAAAAGAAGCCTTCCATCCATAGA